TGTGTGACCTAGTCATCCCTGGGTGTGCCCGATTTCGAAAACTTTTTTCTTTGTTTTCAAACAACTGAAGATACTTGCTTTCAAATTGGTAACCAACGAGGACTAAAAAGCTGTCTCATTCCACGCATAGCTAACCTCATTTGTTTTATTGCTGTATTATACTGTTTTTAACTGACGTTACTCCTCATAAGATTATTCACCAGTTAGCCTAATTTCTCAAATAGCCTACTCACTAACGTTAGTTGGAAAAGTGTGGAGATTCGCGCAGAGGTCTGAAAGTGTAAAAAGACAGATTTATGACCCAAACAGACAGACTGCTTATTCTACTAACAGCTCCTAATTTCAGCCTTTGCTTTGCTCTCCACTGAAAGCGCCACAGGTATCACAAAATGGGCTTATGGCCATTTAGTCTTGTTGTTATTTTTCAATTTTGCAGCTTGTAAAACGACTGGTGTCCCTAAAACCTACAGTAGGCGCAAGCTGTCAAATGTAATAGAGGAGCGGCTAATAATTCAAATGTGGCCTCAAGGTAGACGGCTATATTGAAACATAATGTCTCCTCTGTGTTTCCTGTTCCTTGGTCGTTTAAACGTGGTCTTTAAAAAAAAAAGAAAAGAAAACAAGGAACAACAACAACGAATTTTTATTCTACAATAGCCTGGTCACATTTTATTATTGCTTAACCCTGCAGTTTTTATTTCATCCGAGACATTTGTATCTTTTATACAGATGCAAATGCATCATATTAGTGTTAGATGCATTCATATTATTTGGTTATTAAATATGTGTAATATTTTACAATTTACATGATAATTGATTTAGAGCACCACTATACAATACACAATAATAACAAAATACCATCACTACTACTAATAATAATTTCCTAGTTATGCGTCGCGTAAAAACTACAACTTTTTAATAGTTTTTCTTTTAATGAGTAAAGATGAGTGAATATGCCCCTTGTAACATAGGACGAATACATAATATAATCAAATGTCAACAAACATTGACTATAAATCATTTAAAGATTCTGGCACAAATGTTTGACATCAAACAAGTAAAAGCTACATGGTCACTTGCAGACATCTGCACCAAAAGGTTCTACCAAGCTCAGAAAGCAGCCAACTGAGGCAAACTGCGCGCTTTGACACATTTTGAAAAATCTGTTCTCTAAGTACTACTTTTGGTTTTGTTGTTGCCTTCATGGTCGTTAGCCCAAAAGAGAACTGTGACCAGCGGTTTCGTGAACTAGTTCACAGATCTCAATAAAACCCACAAAACTCTTAGTGAATATAATTTAATTGATTTTATCATAAATCACTGACAAAGAGAGAGGGGGACCAGTAAGAGGGAGCAATTTAAAGTATAGTGCAGTTGTCAAATAATTCATAAACCTTTTTTATATACATTTTAGTCTCAGAATAGGTTATTGCTGTCATAATTACCACAATCTGTGATTTTCATGGGCACCCATAACTGCAATAGTGTGTGGAGTTGTGTAGCTTTGAACGTATTTACACAGTGACCACGAAATAAATCATTCATTGAATGATTTAACTTTTCTATTAGTCTTGAAGTTAAAATCAAACTGCAGTTGTTTCACGTCTAACGGAGTGTATTTTTTATGTTCTCTGGTCAGTTGTCTAATTTGTGAAGTTGGCAGTTTTGGGGACCCTGGGGGCATGGGTCTGGGTTGACCCAAAGACCCTGTCTCTTCCCCAGTCAGTGTCTTTATTCAAAAAAAGTTAAACATTATCCACCCTGTGCACAGATGGTCCTTAAAAATTAACTTTGTGGAAGAATAGCTCAGTTTCTTTTTGATACAAGACCATCCTGGTGAGTACTATTAGATTATTTAGGGTACGGGGTTGCGCAGCAATGTGTAATCTCCAGGTTTGTAGTTACGTTTAGTTAGTCTTACAAGTAAATCCATTTAAACGATATTTTCATCTAGGTACACCTCTAGGCCGGGTCAGTTAAACAGATCAAACAGTGTAACCACCTGACCCAACAAATGAGAATAAGTTCTTAATTTGTTCAATCTTATTTGTTCTGAGCATTGCATACAGGTCAGTAAGCCAAACGAGAAATCTTTAGTTGATGCTATATGCGTGGGTGTCAGAAACCAAGCCCCCTGTCCATTCACACAGCCTGCGAGAGCAGAAACGCCTTTAATCGTTCAAAGATTGGCCACAGAAGGCCTAACGTATCCAGTGGCCTCACACTGAAGTTTGTGGTGTTGAAAGTTGGATGTCATCCGCCAGACTGCAAGAGAAAAGAAGACATATCTAGCCTCTCCCAGTTAAAAACAGCCTTCTCTCTCGGCATCTGGGTATGCTAAGCGTTCGAGCTCATTACTTTTCAAAGCACTGGAATTCAACGAACGGACTTGATGAAAGCTCGCCATTTCTGTGATGGGAGGCGAAATCAGTGTTTTTTGCTGTGTGGCACTCAAGAAAACGGTCAAGAAGTCATTAATCGCGGAATATAAAAAGCTATATATGTTTTGGATTTGTTAGCCTTGAAAGATTTTAAAAGACATTCTGACGCATGCGTGTCACGTGAACAAAGGATCCAGGGCATTATTTTGTATGTGGAAAGAGGGCCCAGTCACTACTAAATCGCCAGTTCACAACCGCCTTACAAATTATACAACAAATGGGATGAGGTGGGCTTTGCGCTGACTTCCACAGAAGGTGCCATCCGTGCTTATCAAGAGCCTGTGGACGTACAGGACGGGAGATTAATGCATGAATATAAGACATTACAAGGGGATTCCAAAGTACCTCTGATTGATCATTAATCTGGTGAGTTATCGCACCTCCACGGAAAGGTCAAGCTGCAAACCCTGTGCCAATCTGTCAAAGCCAAGCCGCGCGCCTTTCGTGTGTTTTTCTCTCCCATGTTCGTACGTACGTGTTGCATGCACATTTTTAAAATTAGGAACTATATCACAGATGGCTGCGACCAAACAGAGAAGCGATGCAATATCCGAGAGTGAGAGGAATAATAAGGTTAAAAATGCAACTGTATTGTAAGTGAGCAGACATGTAAACGAGTTCATTGGGTGCGAGAGTAGGTTTGCTATATTTAAACAGACTGAAAAAAGGGAACACAATCACCCACAGCCTGAGCATCCACTTAATATGCATTTAAATAAATGATGCAGGAGCCCTTTGTTGCAAAGCCCGCAGTAATGAGCGCATGTGAATCCGGTTGTTTCCTTCCGACCCTTAGATAGCCCGAACAATAATTATACACTACTGGAACACTTTCCGTGGAATAGAGGATAAGCTGGTTCTGGTTCGGCTAAGCAGTTGCTCTCTGGTAGCTTTCTCTTCCATTTTCCTCACTAAAAATTGGCTCATCAGCTCTTCTGGCTGGGAGCTGCCTCCTCCCTTTGTTCTGAGAGCAGCAGCGTTCCTGCTTGCTGGGGCACGAGCACCCTTCACTTTATAGGTAACTTTAGGTTAGTCCAGCAAGGCTGCGGGTCGCTGGTGTGTTAACGGGGACGAATCGACTCAAAAATACCCGGACAGCGGTAGAAACGGGCCCGGGTGCTGGGAATGGAATCGAGCCAACGGCGTGCGTAAGTGCGGGGATGCAATAAATAACTTTATAGCGCTGTAGGCCGCAGAGTCGGGGAGGTCGGGGGAATCCTCGTTTTGATTTATGTGTTTGGGGTAGCTGTCACGAGCCGGCGAACGAAACCGTCCAACGTTTTTATTCCACTTTTAATAAGCGCTGCTATGCAGACCAGCAAGGCCATTTCATTCCATTTCTGTTCAGGCCATCGCCTACTGTATATATCCATTTTCGGACCTCCAGGGCACCCGTCTGGATTAAGCGCTGTTTATGTCAAGTTTATGGGAGGAATTTATACCAGAATGGTGGGACTCGCTTCATGGTTTTCTTAATGGTCGCCGAACATTATCGCATGTTATTTGTAATAATTTTCTGTTCGTTTCGTAATTTGCCTGTAATAACTGTTTTGTAAATGTTTATTGTATAATTATACAACAACAAAAACAACAACAACAACAATAATAATAATAAAACACACGATAATATTTATTATTATTATTATTATTATTATTGCTATGCCAGTTCACTGTGGATAATACAAAGCCAACATTTTAAACACAGCAGAACAAAGAATAGGCAATTCTTTATTATAAGACCATGCATTTATCTGAGGAAAAATGCGATTTAATTAAACATTTTTAATAATCATGCTTTTAATATATAGTTTTTGCTTTTATATTTTTCTGTGTTTAAATAACGTAAGCATGACTCACTGTTTGAATCGTTTTGATTTTTAAAATAACATTACTGCTGTCAGTAAATCCGTTAGGAAGGCCAAAGGTTCCGTTTTTAAATGATTAGAAATATCATGGTTAATTCAATACATGCTGAAAATCAATAGAAGTAAAGGACTTTGTGATACCGCCTAAACATTTTCGTTGGCCTAGAATTTCTCTCGGTATTCCCGAACATAATTTAAGGTTAACATGTCGGTCAACAGTAGCCAACCATCAAATTGTCTTCGAGGTCAATTTCTCTACATGAGGTCTGATGTTCTCTATTGGATTTTTGGCGACCCCGTTTTGATTGCATCTCTCCCTTTTTCTGCTCCTCTACTTACAGTTCCTTCTCGTTATCAAGAAGCTGTATCCTTGCATAAAATCTAGAAGTGATAAAGGACAATATCTCGGTAAGTGATTCAATCTTTTTTGCGCTTGACATTGATGTATACCCTCTGCTTATGTGTTTGGGAAGACTGAATTTTTTCATTCAATTTAATTTTTTTAAACATTGGGATTAATATAAAATCTGAATATATATTTTTATTATATTCAAGTGAACAATTTGCAAAATCCACATGCTTTATTAAACTGTTTTAATTGGAATTACATTTCAAGCATTCCCATTTCAGTTTTTGGTCTAATAATATGTAATACAAAAGCATACAAATGCATGCTTGACTACGTATACTAAACTAAATGTGTATGGCAATTAAACGGTTGTATACTACAGACATTACAAAAAATCTCTCTGCTGTATGTTTTATTTATCGATGCACATTTCGCATATACGTTGTGTTAAAATATATACAAAGAATGTTGTCCTTGGAAAAAAGTGTAATCCAAATAGCCTATGAAATCTGCATTGCAGTGATACAGTAAGTCGTGATTACGTGCGTTTTTCATTTTGGGAGTTGCTCATGCGAAACATTTATTTGCAGTCTTTGAGAAAGCGTTTGACACCTTAAATAATTGCTTAGCAAATGGCAAGTCACAACTCACAGTAAGTCCCATGCTAGAATAACACTCACAACATGTTTTTCCATGTAAATAAACATCCAAACAATAACATCAACAGCAGTTCATTAATTGTTTTGCCAAAAGGCTACTAGAGCACTTTGCTGTATTGTTGCATGCCATATTAATCTAAAAAATATTTCTTAATGTCATTATTTTTTAACAACATTAGTGCCTTATATCAATGTGACACGGTATTCGTCTTTAAATTGCTTCCACAATAGTGATTGAAAGTGACTTATTGCAAAGATTTGCATGCTTTTTTTATTTTTCGAAATGTATCAATTTGCAAAATGTTTTCAAACTGTTAAAAAATACACACGGCATTGACACTGAAGAAGTGGAGCACAAACTAAAATATTTCATAATGCTGCGTAAATAGTTGGTGTACAATTTAATACTTCTTTAATATCCTTTTTAACATCTATACAAAATATTTAAAATCCTTATAATCAAATTCATTATAATAAAATTCAAAACGAATATCCAGTGTTCCACTTGAGGTCGGATAGTGTCCGGAAGTGTCGTTTCTTCTGGTTTTTAGTGATGTACATCCATGAAAATAATGCTCTGAGATTGCTGTTGTCTTTTTTTTTTTTTTTTTTTTGTATTCCAGTCGAAAAGAAAGCGAAATGTAACATCCATTTTCGTGCAGCTTAATATGCTGTCCTTTTTTAATGAAAATTAACAATATTACTCCCAGTCCATGAAATCATGTCATAATCCAAGCTGTAAAATTCGTTCCACTGTCTGAACAATAACAGTTTGTTAATGTTTATATCACAGCTGAAAGATGGCAAAATGAAAGAGTAGAAATTGTGTTTTCTGCATTTCGTTGCCTCAGCCCACGTGTTAGTTAATTAGTGCCCTTTTAAGTGGCTCCCCATTGGATCCTTTTAGCAAAGGTTGCAAAATAAGGAACAATGCCGTTTAGTAAAAAGTTGCAGACACCTACATTTTTGCCTTGTGCCTTCCTCCCACACCGTTGGTGATGCTCTCTATTCAAGCACCTAGAAGAAATGCATCTTTTTAAAGTTGCCTGTTTACAGCTGCCTGTGTATGGTGGAAGTCATAAATCTTACGTAGCCATAAACGACGGGGGTAGTGTCCTGAATAATAAAAACAGTGAGAGAGTAAGAGAGAGAGGGAGACGTGGTGTTTGGCTTAAGGAGAGAGAAGTAGCAATATCGCTTGAACATTTTCGAGCTGTTTTTTTTGTCTTATTTCCTCCATTTTGGTTTTTAGTCGGCTTTCTCGTTTCCTTTTTGCGTTTTTTCCTTCTCGTATTTTTTCCCATTCTGGCCTCCATCTTTAAAGGACATGTTGATTTTTTTGTCTATATGCATCCTTCAGCAATTCATAACAAACTCTACTATTTTAAGATGATTGCGCTATCCATGAAACTCGCAAGACTTCTGTGACCAGGACTCACTGGAGCTTCTTAATATATAAAAATATCTTTCTTCTTCTTCGGTTTTTTTTTTCACACCCCTCCCTCAGATTTCAAGTCCGCCTGTTGTCTGTTCTCTTGATCTTGCACCCCCACCTCATTGGTTTTTATATTTTGCGCATAAGTTATTATAATAGTTGGGTGTGTTGGCAGGGATGTGATGAAATATTAACAATACAGATAGAATGTTGTTTCTGCCTCAAGCTAGAGGCAAGCCGGCGCTGAGAACGTACTTCCTGGTAATTTAATATATACCGGTAGAGTAAGAGAGGGAGAGAGAAATGGGTCCCCTCAGTTGTAGTTGCTTACTAAATAATGTTACTACAGCGTAATAGTTAAACCACAGTGAAAAAGACCCGGGGAAAAAACTCTTCAGCTTCCGTCATAGACCTTTATCTTGTCCCGAATGACTGCAATTAGCATAAGTTTTCACTGGTGACGCTGTTTGATGGGGATTAACGCTTGCGCCTCTCACATCCAGCCTGCTCCGTTATTTCCAATAGCTGGAAAGGCCTGGTGTTGACTACAAACAATAACCTAGCAAAGGCGAGCTAATAATACCAGCAGACCCAGGCCCCGACATGAGACGAGGACACGTTACGGCGAATCGGGAGCCCACCTCGGATTATGATGTTCAATTTTGCGCCTTGAGGAAAAGGCGAGGGGAGATTGAAGGCGAAATCTGAGGCCATTGTTATCTGCGAGCAGGGCGTACCAGTCGACAGGGCGGCCAGGAGCAGTGCTGCCTGTCCATTTGCAGCCCCCCTCGCATACCTCAGATCTTTCATGCTAGACCGTCTCCCCCTTTCGCGAGCCGAGGGGAATCGTCCAGCAGCGCCCGCACTCTGGCGCGGGGCAGCCGTGCTCGAGATACCCGGTGTTTGACGCGTACTGTCTGGCTGGAATATCGAAACTGGTATGAGCTTTGGGCTTTCTTATTGATTGCAGCGTGGCCGAATGTGGAAAATATGATGCCTGCCCGCGCATCTCTCGTCAGAGGCTAAGGTAAGCTGGTCTGAAATAGGCTATCAGTTTGTGAATGGCGGTATGTGTGTCCTAGTGATTTATGACCGTATGACTCCAAACGCGGTTCAAGAAGAGTTCACAATGCTTTAAGCTTCCATTGAAGCTGGAGCTTTCGTTCGCTACCCCTGAATAAATGCACCCCAGATTGTGTTATCTAGTCTCATTTTGGCTTGGTTACATAACAAAGGAATTTTGAGCTATATTTGTTTTTATATGTGCTTCGGGATGAAAGCGTGGGTTTATTTTCGAGACTGAGGTGGTGTTTTTACGCGATCAAATAGACCGCCGTGGTGAATCGTCAGTGTGAAATATTCAAATGATTTTTAACGATTTCAGCAAAACCTTCGATTGGTCCTAAGGTGTGTTTTCATCTGATAATGAATTTGGACGTTCAGGCCTATTCTTTCCGAATGTTAGTGTCTGTAATCGAATATTTATTTACTATATTTTGGAATAAATTTAAAAACAATCATTCGAATACTCAAATAATTAGCATGTAACTTATTTTTATTTAGCAAAGAAACGCACAGGTAATGTTATATTGTTTTGTTGACGTTTAGGGCTGGTCTTGCTCCTACTACGTCCGCTCTCGACTCTGTAATTGCGTTAGGGTTGAATCTACAGAAAAGTTGGTTATTGTGTTACCGTAACAAGAGGGCCAAGACATTACGTGTTCCATTTAATGGAACTACGATATGATTTCATATCTATTATGCCAGTTTTATACCCCTCCTCCTCTCCCCTTTCTTTCCCCTGAACAATTCCTTAGAGTAAATGATTAGGATTCCGGCCGTCCTCTTCGAAGATAAATGACCGACATTTGTGACGTGTTGAGACTGGGTTGATGTTCAAAAGCTGTAGCTCACATTTACAATTTATACAACAGAAACACAAACATCTCCATAATATTTATAGATTTGGTTCAAAATAATGAAAAATTTATAGTAATTTACCTTTATTGCATGGAAGTGCACTTCTTTAGATATCTGTCCTAAAAGAACAAAATCATTGACGACTCTAGTCCAATATAACAATGTCCTTATTATAATTATGCATTTATGTATTAACTAACCATAAAGTTGCTGCTTCACGAAGCAGCTTTCACTTTATAATTACTTATTTTTTTCTATAATTTAATAATATATAAAACATTATATATATATATATATATATATATATATATATATATATATATATATATATATATATATATATATATTACAACGGATTTTGAATGAAAATGACTTCTTTTACACTGATTAGTGATCTAGTATGAATTTTTTATCCTACATTTCTCGATTATTGCAAAAAAAAAAAAAAAGAATAAATGAATGAAAGAAAGAACGAATGAAAAAAACGACGTAAATCAATTATACAAAACATGCCTTCGTTATTGTTGCCATATATGTGCATGAAGCCAATGTGTCCGTTTGAACTAACATTTTAGTACATTTATGTTACTACTGGAATGAATGACCAGACACGGCATATATAATTTTACACACCAATGAAAGAAAAAAATCGGGAAAAATGTTATGAATTAGAGGTATCTGATAAAAGCCACAGCAGTAGACCTAAACCATCTCAAACAATGTATTGGCTTCCCCTTCGTCTTTTTAATAACATTTACTACCAAGGTGAGTGAGTGAGAATAAATGCCAGGTGCCTTTAAGTGTTTGAATGATCGTTTTCTCCCGGTCCTGACAGCAACATCAGAGCCAAACTGCGACGTCTTAAGCTTAACAAAAAACTGCATTTGTATATTTCGGTCCAGCAGCCATTACGAATAAAATCTGTCGAAGCGTAAGCTTTGCCTCTGCTCTCACTAAAGACCTGCAACAAAGTTAAAAAACAATGCCGGTTAGTCAGGTTTTAATGTTGGCCAAATACGTTTTTTGTTACAAGAGAAAGCTCTCTAAAGATAGCCTTTGTGTCTGAGGCGAGAGCTCTCATATGTCCGCAAAGATCGTCTGCATTGTCCATGTTTGTTTTTCTTTTGTTGTCTTGTATTTCGTTTGTTCAGTCCTTATTTAATTGCAAGACGAGATATTATAAATTAATTGTTTTCATAAAAGATTTGAATGAAGTTGTAATGTCAACAATAATACCTAAAACATTAAAAACACTTGAAAAAAAAAAACCCAATAATGACAAATTATATTTTATAATAAGAGAAAGTATGCATTTATTTAAATTCCTTTACCTTCCTCAATGCTTTCATATATATATATATATATATATATATATATATATATATATATATATATATATATATATATGTGTGTGTGTGTGTGTGTGTGTGTGTGTGTGTGTGTGTGTATGTGTGTGAACACCAACATGAGTCTATTTAGAGAACAAAAGCCAGACAAGAACTGGAATTGCAAGAGTTTTATTAACATACAATAGAAAAAGAGATAATAAAAGTCATGTGTGAAAATTATTCACACATACCCATAAGTGCGTATGTATGTATGTATGTGTGAGTATACACAATTTTTTTTCTCCATTTTATTTTAAACACACACACACATATACATATATATATATATATATATATATATATATATATATATATATATATATATATATATACATAAGATAGAAAGAGGGGGAGAAAAAGAGAGCATCTGCAGGCTGTGTTGTGGGAACATGCTATTCATGTCATGGCGTCTTTCAGTGCAGTAAGATGGATTTACCTCGTGCCCCTCTTATTATGTGCCTCTTATAACCTTTCAGGTCAGCTTCCAAGAGGCCATTGGAAAGAGACCGTCACGTGACAACTGGTGCCAATGTTCTTCCAGAAGGTCGTCAGGACCCTGGTAGCCAGCAACTCGATTTTTGGAAATGCAGAAAACGACCTACTACGACAACTCGACACTTTTCGGAGGATACTCGTATCAGGGGGCAAACGGTTTTGGCTATGATGCCCCGGCACCAGCCTTCCAGAACTCAGCACATCTTGAGGGTGACTACCAAAGGTCTGCATGCTCCCTACAGTCGCTCGGCACCAGTGCACCCCCACAGCCTCAGCATGCCAAGACGAAAGAGCTTAATGGCAGCTGCATGCGGCCCAGTCTGCCACCTGAACACCATCCACCCCCCCAGGTTTCCCCTCCTCAGAACACTGTAAATGTTGCTGCCACGAATGCCACCCAGCAGCCAGGTGGCAGTGGTGGTGGTGGGGGGGCTGGCTCTGGGGGAACATCCAAATCATCATCCAAGTCATCCTCTATGGCCACAAACCCAACTCTCACGAAGCAAATCTTTCCTTGGATGAAGGAGTCACGTCAGAACACCAAGCAAAAAAACAGCTCCCCTAGTGCAAGCTCAGCTAATGGTGTGTTTGCCAAACCCTCTATTCTCTTCTTTAATCTCCTCACCATTCTTGAACGAAAGATATTGATCAACATTATTAGTTTGAAATGGCATACAATGGGGGTGGGTCTAAACCAGTACAAGGATATTTCAAATTTTATTTATTTATTTTTTTCAGGAATTGGATGTTAGATTAGTCAATTAAATTAATTGTGTATACTGAGGAAAACTGAATTGTGATTATTATATTATCTTACACCCTGAATATCTCTGGCTATAAAATGGCACACGAAACAAATGTTATTTATATTCAAAATAGCAGCAGTGCCACATAACTTGTCATGCATAAATATTGTGCCCATATAGCAGAAGATTTATCCCACAAGCCTCTGAAACTACATAGAGGTTTGAATCTTCTTAATCCTGGCTGTTTAAACATTTAAAGGACAAACTATTTAGCAAACACACCGTTGCCTAGTGCACAGTGTGAATCTGGCCCTGGGCTTTAGTTGTAATGTGATTTACATACACAAGGTCAGTGTTAGGGCATGCGTCTCTTAATAAATGCCAAAGTTATGAAGTGTTGACAACCAATATCAGGGGGATAAGTTTTTTCATGGCCAGCTTTATTAGTGGGAACGATGCATTCAATTTCCGTGTGGAGTAATTATGTTTTATTTCATTCCCACCCCAGCGGAGAGCAGCGGTGGTGAGAAAAGCCCTCCGGGTTCTGCAGCTTCCAAGAGAGCACGCACCGCTTACACCAGCGCACAGCTGGTGGAGCTCGAGAAGGAGTTTCACTTCAACCGATACCTGTGCCGGCCGAGGCGTGTGGAAATGGCCAATCTGCTAAACCTCAGTGAGCGGCAGATCAAGATTTGGTTCCAGAACAGGCGGATGAAGTACAAGAAAGATCAAAAGTCAAAAGGCATTGGTTCATCATCAGGGGGGCCTTCTCCTACAGGAAGTCCACCTCTTCCAATGCAGTCCTCAGCTGGTTTTATGAACTCTATGCACTCAATGGGCAGTTACGATGCTCCCTCTCCACCATCTTTTAACAAACCCCATCAAAATGCATACGCCATGTCAACAGCCTATCAGAACCCAATGAAAGGTTGCCCACCCCAACAGAAGTATGGAAACACACCACCGGATTATGACCCACACGGGCTACAGGGTAACAGTGGCAACTATGGGACACCAAACATGCAGGGTAGCCCTGTGTATGTAGGAGGTAACTATGTTGATGCCATGCCTGCCACTGGGCCTTCTATGTATGGCCTCAATCACCTACCACACCACCAGTCGGCAAGCATGGACTACAACGGTGCCACACAGATGTCAGCGAACCAGCACCATGGACCTTGTGACCCACATCCGACATACACGGATCTGTCTGCACACCATCCTTCTCAGGGTAGAATCCAAGAAGCACCCAAGTTGACTCATCTGTAGCAGGTTTGGACAAAAAAAAAAAATTAAAAAGAAGAAAAAAAATGAAAGGAAGACAAAACAGACTAACCCATGGGGCGATGCAATGGGGTTGAAAAAGATGATCCAGTGGTTTCTTGCCATGACTAGGACACCGGTTTGTGTCAATGTTGTCCTTCCATTCATATGTGAACATCTCTGAATTTAGTATCCATAGGTCTAAAAACCCCTTTAAAACAATACATGTCATGAAAAGTGGCTTGTTTATGCCAAGGAATAGACTGTCTAGCTGTATGACCTCATTACATCATCCTAAATGTTTGTGTTTCTCACTCTTTGGAGGGAAGTACGATATAGTAAATATATAAACTTACTGGTGCAAGAAAACCACTGGATTGTTTTCGTCCACTACCCTTATTTCACATACCTCTTTTTTTAAATGTATCAAAAACTTCAATTTTTTAAATAACTTGATCCCAAAACTGCAGCAGATTTGCACCATGTCTTTAGCAAGACAAGGTGATCAAGATATTCATCTGTTTAAATTGCGTTTTACACTATGCTACCTATCACTATTAATGAGAAGAAAATTGATTTTTGATATGGCTTTGACAGGGTAAAAAGAAGAGTTGAGAAAACTAGTAAAGTAAAGCTCATTTCCTCATTCTCAACTCACTTCCCCCTCCCTTCCCCTTATACTCCTTTCCCAGTTCTTGGGTTTGCCTACATTAGTCCAAACTAATATGAAAAGCCCACATTTTCTCATATCTTCATTTAACGTGGATACAGGGTATATTTGAACAAAATGCATGTCCGGGAAACCAAGCTATGGCGCAGACTTCTCTGTTTACGCCTACTGCGCTCTCGTCTGGGCATCATTGTTGCACTTAGAGTTTACATTAAATGGGTGAGGAAGAAAAGTAAATCTTATTTTGAATCGGAAGACCTTCAATCAGCGTCTTTCGCTAAGTGTGTTCAAGTGAACATTCATAAATATATATTTATTTGTTATAGCCAGTTTAAATACTTTCTTTTTTGTATTATTTATCCCCATGTATTTATATCGATAAAAATGTACTTTTTTAGTATCTACCTGTTATAAAAAAGACGCTGTGTTCTTGTCATTGTAACAAATTAATTTTTAGTTCTTGTATTTTAGAAATATGTAGGTTTATGTTACCCTTGTATAAAAAATGTCTTGACTTGTACAGGGGGCACAAGAACGGAATCAAACCGTTCCCGCATAGTCGAGAATTAGACGGAATATAGCGAAACATTTTGAGAACTTCATTTGTCCTTTGTAACTACTTTTATTTCCTTGTTAAGAGTTGGTTGTTGAACAATTCTTTAATAAAATGTTATGTTATTCATTTGCACTCTAGAAGTTTATGAATTTACCAAGCAGACTCACACAATTTTATAGGCAAAGAGAGAAAAGGGTGGGGGTAGGGTTTCTATAGTCCTGTGAAAGCGTCCTCGAATCCGCGCCTGCAATAGTCACGTGAAGAGAGTCCAATAGAATCACTCTTTACTGAGTATGGAGTATTACTAAATATGGAATTAAAAGAAGTGATTATGCAAACCGAGATTTAAAGCAAAAATTGCATTTGCAACAAATGACTAAACATATTTTGGTAATTGCAATGGTAAAAAGAATAGCTGCGTTAATGTCTAAGATCATTCACCAACTTTAGATTTAATTTAAACATGCTAAACTATTTTCCGAGAGTGGAAAAAAGACGAAGCTTTTTAATGTTATGAGGTCAATTGATGCAACAAAAAAATCAGGACTACGTAAACACAAAAGCGTTTAAATATTAGATGAACAGTCAATTAAGAAAAATAATTACACACACACACACACACACGTGTGTATAGTTTATATATATATATATATATATATATATATATATATATATATATATATATATATATATATATATATATATTACAAGGAAGACCAAGTACGCCTACGTTAAACATATAGGTGGTTGCGTTTAGCTCCGATTGATTCCGCGTGTGATTTCTGCAGTGGATTAAACCCATTAAATTTTTACGGACACTAGCTTCATGTATCTAAAATATCTGTCTAGTAACAAAACACACCAAAGCCAATACCAAAATAAAGAGACCACAGTTTTGTATTGTTAACAAAATACACAAAAATATAATCATATAAACGTTCATTACAATTTATCCCATACGCTCCCACACTTTGCTAAAATACAATTTCATCTAATTTGGAGATATAGAAAGAAAATATAGAAGAAGAAAACATTAAAATAAAAATGATAAATTGTCATGCATTAATGATGATAGATAGATAGATAGATAGATAGATAGATAGATAGATAGATAGATAGATAGATAGATAGATAGATAGATAGATAGATAGATAGATAGATAGATAGATAGATAAACCGCTGTCCTCGCACGAAATAAATCCCGTTAAATATTTTTAAATCAAATGGTTCAGTTCGTCCCAAATTATCGTCATTATTTTCCAGGGGGAAAATCCAGTTGTAAAAAATTAAGTCACTTGATTTTATATGCCAGTACTCTCCAAGACAGAAAGTAAAAAAACGCACAAACTAATGATGACTAAAGATAATATCAGCACGTCCCAATCCCTCGCGGTCAGCTCCGTTGTGTAGAGAAGGAAGGCCTTTTCGGTCTGACCCCATTCCGTAGTACCCACGGCCCACAGCTTTGCTTTGTATATCCTTTAAAATTCACAGACACCCACACAGGGTTATACCACCAATAACCATTCTTTAAGACGAGAGAGGAAAAAAGACGAAGCTTTATATTGTTATGAGGTCAATTTCTAATTACAGCTAGCTGCAACACATTTACTATAATCTCTAATCCTATCATCGAGATGCACCAATAAAATGTTTCCAATGTAGAAAAAAAATGCGTAATTCTAGAAAAAAATCCGCAAATCTGCGAGGGAATAATGGGGGTTTTCTTTGTTGTGATCTTGGAGGAAAAAGGCGAATTCTTGAGGGTGGCTGCTGTCAAGCGCTTTGCCGGCGAAAAGATTGATCACCCTTGCTGCCTCTCTACTCCTGCTCTAAAAATATCTACTCCCTTTTCCCATTCGTTTTAAACTTTGACGCAACCAATTTTGTTTAGTTTTTTTATCAGCTAATATTATATTGTTGCTTTCTTTGTACAGCCTACAATAGAAATTGGTCCAACTCAATATTCGCAATTACAAATCGTAAAAGCGACCTCGCGCTGAACTTTTGGTTGTTGTCAGTCAACAAAAAAAGAAATAAAATCAAACACAGACACACTACTGACAAATATTTTTTTTCCTAATGGAATTAGCCTATGTCTCTCACGCAACCCTATTAAATATATATATATATATATATATATATATATATATATATATATATATATATATATATATATATATATATATATATATATATATATAAAACATATAAACAAAATCTCTAACCTGTATTCAACACAAACTTACGCAATTAAAGGTCCCAGAGTTCAGCAATTCTTCAGAGGCTGTGTAATAAAAATCAAACCAAAGGTAAAGCCCAAAAAGAATTGATTCGTGCCGCAATGGATGAGAATCTCATATTTACCAATCACACCAGCACTCGTTCATCCTTATTTATGGGCTTGATAAAATAAATATTACAAAAGATACATCTCTTGTCTGTTACTCTTGTCAAAACTTTTAAGATTAATGACCATTGATTGTAAACACGTAAGAAGCCATATTGTGGATGTGCTTATCAGACAGGGCCTGCGAATTACATCACCGGTAGTTCTGCATTTGGATTGTTATTGTCTAATGTAAGAGACCTCACTTTACCTCTCACAAAACGTAAACTGTCCAAGCACATGGCAGCCGGGAGATTTTATTTTTGGTTATAATCTCGTCCATGTTAGGCCTACTATAAAAACTGAATTATAATATCCTGTTTTTAACATCTATTCAGACAAATATTGCCTTCTTTTGCCACCAGGCCCCGAATTTCAATTGGCTGAGATGAGTCACGTGACCAGGAATTGGCTGCAATTTCGCCCATAGTCTTCAGTTTAGTAGACCCTGGTCCCCATACGCTAGTAATATCACCAATATACACAATTATTAAAGCCCGCAAATGCCGCCATAGCAGGAGCGCAAAATAAATCATAGCTTTTTGGATGTTATTTTTTGCGTGTGTTGGTGTCGCTGGACGCCCTTTTTGCCCAGGCGAAGCGATGAATTTTGAATTTGAGAGGGAGATTGGGTTCATCAACAGCCAGCCTTCCCTTGCAGAGTGCCTGACGTCTTTCCCCGCTGTCCTGGAGTCATTTCAAACTTCATCAATCAAGGACTCGACAGCAATTCCACCTCCTTTCGAGCACACCATCCCAAGTCTGAGTCCCTGCACAGGCAACCAGGCGCGACCGAGGAGCCAAAAGCGAACTGCCTCCAATGGCCTCCAGCTTCGGACACAAACAGCACCGCCGACGCAGCACCAGCAAGGCCCGGCTCCGCTGTCGGGTGGCGCGCCCCTGGCCCACGAGTTCCCATGGATGAAGGAGAAAAAATCCTCGAAGAAGTGCCCCAAGCCCGGAGCCACTGCAGCTGCAGCAGCAGCCTCCCCCTCTCAGGCATCCTCCGGCTACACAACCGCGGGACTGGAGTCCCCGACAGGTACGTTTATCAAATCTGTGAATGCGTTTGTTCTGCATTTCTTAATTTTGTACATTTTGCCCTGAATTTTTGTGACTCGAATAGATGTCAACACAGTACAACTCTAAAGAATGTTACAGACCGCTTTTATATAGCATAAACAGTATTACACTGTGATATCACAAGCTTCGAATTTTTACGCAATCAAAAAAAGCCCTGCAGAGATCCCTGTTCTTTGTCCTATTTTCAAGTGATGTACAGCATAACCTGATTTAGATGGGCTAGTATTTTACTTCTGATGAGCAATTTGCATTTAGGAATAAATGTATTATTTGATCTGATGTCTACATTTCAAACACCGTTAAGCATGCAAGATTGTTTAGTATACATGCACAGCCTATATTATAAAAATCTCGTTGCAATAGCTGATGTGATTAAAAGATAAAAATGCACCCCTCCCCCATTGCTTGGCATATATACAAAACTGCACACTTTGAAACACCGTATTGCCTTCCTGCAGATAGTAGATCTTGTACTTTAATAACGATTTAATCGCAATTGATGTTGGCAGAGACTCGATTTTTATTCATAACACTGTTTCGTGGCGTGGGGAGCCATTTTGAATATCAGTATATATTGTGAAAGCTGTGGAACACTACATAATATGGGGCTTGCTGAAATACCACTTGTACACCGCGCTCGTCTTTTACCCACAAGACATGCCTTACCATTGCAGTCATTGCCACATGACAAGTCCAAACCACAGGGCTCTTTTACACCGGGATTTTGCTGTCATCTGGACATTTTCTCACATATGACTTTGCCGTTTTACTGGGACTGATTTCTATTTCTGTTTATTACGTTTTTGCAGAGATTCAAGGTGGACTCGATAATGTTAGCGGTTCGCGGAGGCTGAGGACCGCGTATACCAACACGCAGCTACTTGAATTGGAGAAGGAGTTTCACTTTAACAAATACCTTTGTCGGCCCAGGCGCGTTGAAATTGCAGCACTTTTGGATCTAACCGAGCGACAAGTCAAAGTGTGGTTTCAAAATCGACGCATGAAGCACAAACGACAAACTACACACCACCGGGACGGCCAAGAAGGCGAGCCCAGCGGTTTTGACCTCCTAGAGGGAACTGACGCTTCTTCACCCTATTCGAGTCAGTCGTTGGAAGTATCTGGTTCTGGCTCGGCAGCACCCTCTGAGAGTGAGACGTGTCCGACAACTGCCGCCTACACGAACAGTTCGGACAAAAGCCAGCCCACGCCTGAAGAGGGCCAAGCGAGCCAGCCGGAGCCAGCATCTGTCCCTGACACAGCGGTTCACTCCCCCCCGTATCCAACGCCTACTGCAGATAACCCCACCACAATGGCTGAGGGCCGAGCAGCTGGGCCGGAGCATTCGTTCACAGAGCCGCAGGATGCCACCTCTCTCCCAGATTTGAATTTCTTTTCGACGGACTCCTGCCTACAGATTTCGGACGCTTTATCACCGAGTTTGCAAAGCTCCCTGGACAGTCCAGTTGATTTCTCCGAGGAAGACTTTGACTTGTTTACGAGCACCCTTTGTACTATAGATCTGCAACATTTACAGTTCTGAACAAAAATCACATCAAAACGAATTCAAGAACTATCGAACTCCATCGCAATGCAGTGTCATGAATGCTTCTCGACCGCAACATTCCTATAAGACAAAAAGAGTGAAACGTCTACCTAAAGTTTTTATGAAAAAGAAAAGCAAAAAAGGCGTAATGCAATGCCTAAACGGAAATAAATTGTCCATTATTTTGAAAATATGATGTAATCTTTTTCAATACACATCGGGATGGCCCATGTCGAAGTATCAGGTATTTTATTGCCTTTTGATTGTCGGATTTAGTTTATGTCTACTAACAGATGAATAGTTGCGGACTTTTTTTCAGTGAAACTCAATCATTGGAATCTCAGGAATTGTGTCAGACATAAGGGTAGTTGAACTGCTTTTAGGAATTCTCCCAAGACGGGCGTTGTCCCTATTGAATAATTTTAGACCTAGTTTATTTATTGAGATCCTTTAATAGTAAATTTCAAATTTATTTATTGTACGTTATTTTCATAGTTGAAATAATAAAAATAAAACAAAAACAATACATAAAATGCTGGAGCGAGTGTCACTGATTTCCTAAGCTTTAAGTAACTTTTGTTAAGAATATTAATTTGTATTAATCAAAAGATTAATTTTAAGCATTTGTTCGTTAATCTTGGTATTGATGTAATGATGTGTTTGATTTATGGTGCTGAAACTAAGTACCGTCCGCAGGTTAAATTGGTTTAAGGTTTCTTGCCCTCCAAATATGCAAAGATTATTATTATTATTATTATTATTATTATTATTATTATTATTATTAACAATAACAATAATAATGTTATTATTATTTCTACACAATCATTAATTTGTAATGAATTATATTTGTTGTTATTAAACATTTGTATGAGAAAGGAGGGAGCTGCATAGGCTGAAGGAGAACAAAAAGCCACTATAGTGAATTCTACAACTATTTACAAAACACCAGCAATAACTATATGAACATTTTAAAACGAAAAGTAACAAAGATAATAGTCATGGATTTGAGCAATTAAAACAATGTTTTTAAAAAAAGGGAAAAACCGTGCCTGATAACATTAGACGAAACAAAACAGCCACACGTGCATTATTAATTTGTAGATGGACGTTAAAAATGAACAACAAGAACATAGGAGATTAGCTGTGCAAGATGGTCAATTGGTTGACTGGGCTGTGGACTCCCATGGCTGCTCTCGCCCTGATGCAAAATGGCGCTCGAAACACAATGAAGGATATGAACAATAAAGCGGCAGCCATTATGGATAGTATGTTATGTAGCTGTGAGCGGGATCCTCCGAGCTGGGTCGTTGTCAGTAAAACAGTCTGTTTAGACAGCAGGCCAGCCAGAATTGCATCAGTTAAAATAAGGATTCTTTTATTTTGTATATATATATATATATATATATATATATATATATATATATATATATATATATATATATATATATATATATATATATTTCTTTCTTTTCTTTTTTTTAACTCGCAATGAATTTTACACCTTATGTAATATCCGGATCTATCCCAAACCCTCATGTGAGCTTGCAACAACAACAACAGCAATAGCAAAAGTAAATAATAATAACTGTTATTATAATTTATATTATAAACATTAAACTTGAATAAATAGTCACATTAGTCATTTTTGTTAAAACAAATTATTAAAATTTTATGTTTTATATTTTGTATTTTTTAATTATTATTTATTATATTAGTCTTTGACCATATAAGAGGTATATGTCTTCATCATCCAGATCAGATTCCTGTTATCTCTAGTAATTTAGCACTGATGCATTAGATACAGCAAGTAAAACAACATTTCTATTTATTTAAAATATTTGAATAGGTCTTTTTTTGCTCAGTTTACATGCGCAGTACCAGATAATGACTCTCTGAATGTGAAGAACAGGTGCTCTGCTCATATTACTAGCAATGTGCATCTGGTCACAGTAGCATTGCAGCAATGGCAGTTTAAAATTTAAGCCTTTTCTATGCAGGATAAATGCCAAATTAATACACCACGCACCTGCATTTATCCACTCAAAGACTTAATAGCTGATATCAAGAAACATGGACAACAAAATGATATACAATCTCAAACAAAATCTAGGTTTGCTATTGTAATGAAAAGAAATATAGTGACACACAATAAAACACCTAAATTGTGCTGATGACAAAAAAAAACAAAAAAACAAATGCTGGCTAGGCTGGCACCTATACCTAAATTCAATTTTATCAGGTTTGATTTCCAGTATTCTGTCATTTTTTGTCTAGGTCGTGGTTTGCAGATTTCGTAATTTCAGCATACAGGACTCGTTTGCTCCCTCGTTTTTTTTTTTTTTTTTTTTTTTTAATTCACCTGGGACAGGTTAGAGAGAGACTTTATATTGACATATCTCCCTACAAGATAAATAACTTATTCCATGCCCTCAGGCCACACAAGTTTGGTAAATATTTGTTTAAAAATCCAAATGGTTGTAATTTTTCTTCCCCATTAGTCTGATAATTTGAGGTGTGGCTAGGTCAAGTTTTATCTCAGTCTTGATGCTTTTCTTGGTGGCCTGCCAGCTCTTACACATTTATCAGAATGGCTCTTTCTGTTTATATATTTTGCAGAGCACAGTACTTTGGGCCAGTCTAAAATAAGAAGAGGTGGGGTGGCATAGGGATTTTCTCACATGAGAAAATGGGCCAATGTTTACAGTGTTGCATCCTGGGTAATGCTATGCCTGAAGCAGTGCTGGGACTAGCCAAGATTAAAGTGGAAATGTCTTCTGCCCTATTTCAGTCAAACCACCATGAAGGCTCAGTTTAATCACTGAAGTGGTTAGGAAACCAAAGTACTTTGTCATTTTACAACAATAATGACAATAGTAACAGCAAAATATTATCTTAGCTTATTTTTAAAATGGCCTTATAAGACTTTACGGTTAGCAGTGTAAATACACTGTATTGGATTGTGAGCTCTGTAAACAGCTCCCTTTGTAGTAGCTCTTGTATTCATTTGTTTAGCAAACACTCTTTGTTCACAAAAGGCTGCTGCCTCATAGCTACTGGTCATATGCTTATTTGAAGTTATAAAAAATATAAAGGTTCTGCAGTGGCATCAGTGGTTAGATGAATAACCATAAACATCAATGGAAGCTTTTACTGCAAATATAGATTTTTAGATTTTCTAAAAGGTTCTTTTCAACAAAAATGTTATTTTAAGAACTCATCTACACTCTGAAACAAAAATACAAACAGACAAGGTTGAAAATTGATGTCAATGACTTGTAGATAACAAAAATTGCCAAAATCAAGCTATTTTAATCAGAATTTTAAATCGTTTACACAAATTGGTTTTGTTTGCTCACAAAATCCATATAAACAAAGCACAAACCATTCTGACATACCACACATCAAAGTGTTAATAAAAGATCACACTTTGGAAGTTTTAGCCTTTTTACAATTTGGCGATTTGTTAACTATATGAATTAATTGGAATAACTAAATTTCCAAAAACTTCAATGTCAAACAATAGACCAAGCTAGAATAGTCTGAGGTAGACATCTCTCACAGTATTCATTCCTTGCTGCTGTTTAAGCAATAAAAATAAAGTAATCCTTCATTATGTTAACATTAGCACTAAGCCAAGAAAGCTTGCTGAAAGTATGGTATACGTTTCAAAATGTTTTCAAAAGACAGCGACAGCTGGTGATGAACACATGCCATAAAGAATGGGAAGCCCTGTCTATTGGCTCAAGAACTTGCATGTCTTTCTGCACCAGCTCTTTTCTAAAATAACTACCCTGTTACATATAAAAGCACTTTGACTCTGATATGCTTTCAGGGTTTTAATCTGGAGAAACCGTCTGTCATACCTGTGTGTTGACTGAATGTTCATGAAAGCTTTGAAACTTCAATGAACAAAACTCTTGATATGACTAGTCAGGCAAAAATGACTAAATTAAAGCTACCCTGCTACTTGATGGGTTGAATGTTAAAATGTTAAATGCAGTTCATACTTTATTTTACAGTATTTCACAGTATATTCTATATCAAGTTATGTTTTTTTATTTTTATATAGTACTTCACCTCCACATAATATTACTAAATAATATATAATACTGGGTTATATAAGGTGACTATATGGGTTAAACGTAAGTTCATGGCTTGGTATTGATATTGTAAGTATTACCCAGATAAAGTAATGACTATGATAAAGTACACAGTATAAACATGCAAATCGGGACAATAAATATAGTCAAATAAAGTGCTACCAAAATGTGGGTCCTCCTCTGACAACGTCAAAAGAATGACAAAAGTCTTTGCATAGTATGATGCACAAATGATCTACTTTTACAGTATAATCTTCAAAAGTATATTGGTTTTTGAAAGCTTAAACCAGCACTTCACAGCTGTCCATATCTACTCAGAGGGTAAAGGGCCATTCACTAACACTTGTACAGTATCTAACGTAACACATTTTTACCCTTGACCCTGCCAACAAGAAAATGTGCCAACAATACCTTGGAGCAATACTCTGGTCTACTGCAGTAATAGACAAGATGACAGCTTCAAGTCACCCAAAAATATAATGTATCAGTGACATACCATTGAGCTCGGAGACCAAAACGCAGGTGTGCAGTACCTGCTATCAGTTTTTTTGCTGATATAAAGTCTTGTTGTACGTAGACTTTATTTTTCGAATTGGTAATGTTTAACTATGTACATGAATGTGCAATGGAACATGTACATTCTTGATCGGTAGATTAAAGAAATAAAAAATGAAATAAAATTAAAATAGATTTAACTGATAATAGTCCATAATTGTAACATTACTTGTGGAAGGCACAGTATTATAATTTTTTCTATTTTAGTTATTATTATAATTTAGTATTACACTTTTTAATTAGTTCGAAGATGGCTATATTCCAAAATAACAATGTTAGAATGTACTGTATGTACTTGCAGAAGGAACAAGTAAATTATTGGTCTGTACAATGGTGGTCACTATTTTAAAAAAGCATTTTTAAATCACATTTTGCCTTAAATCAATGGTTCTCAATTCCAGTCCTCGGGGCCCCCGCCCTGCACATTTTGTATGTCTCTCTTATTTGTCACACAAGAATCAGTATATGGATCTCTCTGTTGATGGGCTGATGATCTGAATCAGGTGTGTTAAGTAAGAAAGACATAAAAAAAAATGTGCAGGGCGGGGGTCCAGAGGACAGGAATTGAGAAGCACTGCCTTAACTGAACATTCCACTTTTTTGGTAAATAGTCTAATTTTACAACTCCCTGTTTTACCATTTTTGAATCCATTCAGCCAATCGCTGGGTCTGGCAGGAGCTTTTTAGCTTAACATAAATAATCTAATCAGATTAGACATTTAGCATATCTTCAAAAAATTCATACAAGACTGTGGATCATTTTTCTGTTTAAAATTTGACACTTCTGTAGTTACCTAGTATAGCAACTTTTAATTTCCTTTGGTTATTGGTAGGAGTGGTGCAGAGGCACAGTGGCTAGCACTGTCGCCTCACAGCAA